GGCACACTAGTCAATGCAGAACGTGCCCACCTCGCAAGGCAGATTGCGACATCAAATCTACGAAAATCGCGGGATCCCTTATGTGTGGAGTTGACAAGCAGAAAGTTCCCCTTCCAAAGTGAAGACAACCCACAGACTACCCCGAGTGCTTCCTCGGCTAATCTTTTTTCACGGCCTCGACCATTCAAGAACGAAAGGCTACAAGCGTAATGTCCCTCGACCTTAAAAAAGGAGGGCTGGGGAATCTTGTCCTACCTGCAACGCCCTGGCCTTCGAGCATATTTTATATTGAGACACAAAGGCTATGAACAAAATCGTGAGGCCCTCGTCCGAGTGGACATGGTGGACCCCTGGAAGTTAAGCTCACAGGAACACTGCGGATGTAGTTTCAGTAGCTCCTTGGTGAGGTGAGGTCACTTGAAAAACCCGTGATATGTGCTTTCCAAATGACGGTTTGATTTGTTTTCATGATTGGATTAGACATGTGGCTATGTGACACATTAACTATAGCAGCATGCATGTTTTTGACCATGCAGCTCACTGCCATCCTTGAATGCAGAACTTTCTGAGCTTCTGGCAAAGGTCTGAACACAAATTCAGTGAACACTGTTCAGCGGCTAGCTCAAGATATTGACTGTCCGCATGATCCCTAGCTTCAAAAACATGCATGCTCTGGAAAATGACATGACCGTGGACAAACCATGGACAAACTATGGACAAACCATGGACAATCCGTGGAAAGACCATAAAGAGGTGTGGAAAGGCAATAAAACGGCGTGGAAAGGCTATACACAAAAAGCATGGACAATCTAGGATCATATGCCGGGCAACCTTCAATTGAAATGGTTGTGCTTCGTGTGCTGGGCTGGTGGTGAGCTGCGCGCAATCGTTTCCGATCTGTTCGCGTTTGACACTATTATCATACATTGTTTTTGGCTCAAGTCATGTTACCACCTCGGCTGAATAACTCTATGAAAAAGCATATTGACAAAACACGGGGCATGCAAGGCCGCTCTAAAGAAAACTGTTGCTCTTGTGTGCACAGCAATGCTATCTACTTCAGCCAGCGGAAGTGCAATCTTGAGAGTTGGCGAGTTGGGCCAGTTGGATGAAACATACTACCACATATCGCCACAAAGAATAAAGGCATGCAAGCTTGCAAAGGTTGAATTTTCAGAGAAGTGCAAAACATGCCTCTAACCATCTTATGGTTGAGCGACCTCGACCACTTTGGACCGCTTTTGGGAGACCAGGGAACACATAGTTTAGGATCACTTCGGTAGCAGAAGTGTGAGGTTTGAAGTATTGAGGGCTAGGCGCAAAAAATATGGTCTTTCGGCAAAAAACGGTCTAGCTACCTTGACTACTCGCCTTTAAAAGGCTAGGGTTCCATGATCTGCCATCCGAACAAAGAGAGAGAAAACAAGCCCTCAACACAGGCCACCATCCGAAACAAAGGCTACCCCAGCGCATTTGTGGAGAAGTACAGGCACCCAAAGATATGTCTCCCACTCGGCGGGTGTTTGGATTTTGCACCGAGCGGTGAAAACGCAGGGTTCTGCACTCGGTGGCCTGCGGCTGCGAGGAGGTGCGGGCCACGCTGGCAGCCCACCAGGCGGAAAGAGGGGCGCCGTGCCGTGCCAACTGAGTGGTGCCCTTTCAACTTTGAAAAGGCGGGGGGGGGGGGGGGTTTCCAGCAAAAATAGAAACAGCCACCAGGTTTTGCCTGTTTGAAAAGGAGGGAGGAGGGGGTTCCCGTTGAAATCACCCAGGTTTTGTCCATGAAAAGGAGGGGGGCGATCGGCGGCTTCCCTTGGAACCCAAGAGGCCCAGAAACCCGCCGTGAATGATGGGCCACTGCGCGTCAACTACCCTAAAGCGCCGTTTGTTTGATTCGCAGGGTGTCCTTTTTGGTTTTGCTAGAAAAATAGAAGGCGATTCCTGGTTTACCTGGTTCAATCATCTACCAGAGAAACCCATCTATTTTCCAAAAAGGACAGCTATGTGAATGATTCGCAGGGTGGGGATAACCTTGATAGCGACCAAGCGACGCCCATGACTCGCTCGATCCTTTTTGTTTGGAGTTTGCTCAATAAATTCGTTCAGTGACTTTCTCTTTTTGAACTGGGAGATGGGGCACGGGACCCTGACGGCCTCAAACTAAACCAGCTGGTGATTTTTTGGGGTTACTATATGTTCCCCATACAGCAGGTTGCCCTTGATTGGCGGTTTGGACTGGTGCTTTGGGGCATTGAACCCTGGTTCTTCAACCAGCAGCGGGCTCCAAACCACCAAGTAGGAAACTGAATACACTCGAGAAGCTCGAGCAAACTTGGGAGCATCTTGGTTTGAATCCAGACGGTCCCGGTCCTGCCATGTTGCGACTCCTGCGTCCCGCCATGCGTTCGGCCGGCTCCGGGCTGCGGGCCTTTGCGGCGCCGGAGGCGAGCGGAGATCAGCTCGTGGGGTTTGGCAAGCATGCTGCACTGAGCTACCAGCAACTCTTCGAGACGCAGCCAGGGTGGTGCAGCTGGTTTGTCAAGAGCTACACCGAGAAGTTGGAGAAGGCTGAGAACCAGAGCCCGGCCTCCAGGGCGCTGGGGGAGTATTTGCAGGGAAAGGGCGTTGCTCCATCTCCATCCTCCCCAACTCGGTTTTCTCCTTCGAGTGTCAAGGGCCAGGGCCCGAGTGCCAAGGGCCAGTATGGCCAGTATGACCGGTCTGACCAGGGCCAGCAGGGGAAGCTGGTGGATGGCCAATGGGTGTTGGGCTTCGGAAAGCACAAGGGCAAAACCTTTGCGGAGGTGATGTCCCAAGACCCCAACTACTGCGAGTACTGCGTGAACTTGGCGCTCGAAGGCACCAAGGCCAGCTCCTCCTTGCTGGCCTTCTCCATCTACGTCATGTCCGCGGCCAAACGTTTGGAGTGAGCCAATTCTTGGACCAGTTGGCCCACTGAACAGGTGTCCTGAAAGAAATCGAAAGGAGAGTGTGCAGACAAGTGGTCTTGACATTTTTTGGTGTGGAGGGTACCCCATCTTTGGTGGTTATAAAGGGAAACCAAAGGACCACCAGAAGCCTTGAGGAGCGGGGCACAAATCCCGTCGCCCCGGGCAACGGGCGACCCGCCAGGTTTACTTCTCACGCGATGAGCTAGCATCGCTCGGGGCATCGCGCGCTGCGAGGGGGGAAAAAGAAGATGGCCCAAGGGGTGATGGATTCAATCCTGATTGATTGACAAGGTGTCCCATTTTTTTGAGGGGATTGGGCAAGCAACCTCCCAAAAAACAGAGGTCTTCCCTTGGATCCGAAACGGGCTCTGAGAAAATAATTTTCAGCTTGCACCAAAGGACAACAATGTGTCTAGCATCCGAAACTCACTCCTTGAGCTCATGGACTTTAAGCTTTGTTGGGAAGACCATTTGGGGGCAAGGTTTGGACTTTTTTGGCCAGCCCACTCAAGAAGTGAGGAAAGGAACTCATTCGTTCGAACCCATTGAACGGGTCATCCAACCTGTGAATCAATCCGGGGTTCAGCTCACCCGCCACAAGGAATGTAATGGCAATGCTCCACTTGACACAGAGCCCATTGTTTGGAGGCTGAAGCCTCCAAGTTTTTTGTCAAGTGAAACGCTTCCTGACCTGCAGATATGCGCGCTTCTGGTCAGCATAGGGAACTTCCTTGAAAGGACGACGCTACCTGCTTTCCAACCAGCAGGGAAGCGGACAGGCCTTTTGTCAAGAAGACTGTCGTTTGTCAAACCTTCCTGTTAGCTTCCATTGTTGAACAGAGGCTATCCCAACTAAGTAACCCCAAGCGATGGTCATGCAAAACGTAGAGGTAAAACAGCGTGGTCACCTATGGTTGCTGGAAGCACCCGGTAGGTCGACAATGGAGCCACCCTTTAAACACAAAAAGGAACATCCTACTAGACTGGCATGCACTGGGCAAAACATATCGAAGGGCTTCTCGACGAATGGTGCCAAAAAACTGTCGTCCTCCAACCCATCATTACTCGTGGCAGGCCCTTTCAAAGGAGAGGCCAAAGCTTGACTTGGGCAAATGATTGTCCCACCTGGCGGTTTGCGACCGAAAGCCCATGATGTTTTCTTCTGCAGGTGCGTAGCCGGCGGATTCAATGCCTTGATGCATTGATTTAGTTCCAAACCGCGCTCTTGCTCAACAGGCTTGAGTGAGTTCAATGATTGACTGACGCGTCTGAACGTGCGTAACATATGCGGTGTGGTTTCCCCTTTTTGTTGCGCCCGGGTTTTTACCCACCTGTGGCCGTTTGGAGCAGTCTTGGGGGCCTAACCAACCTCCAAATTGGGCAACGCCAAAAGGCCTTCTGAAAGGAGTTGATTGAGGGCCTCTCCTGACGAAGCCTCGCGAAAGCTAGAACGAGCGCGAAAGCCCGCAAAAGCTTGAGGAGAAAGTGGTTGAAGAGAAGCCCGCCGCGAAAGTGTCGCGAAAGTGATCATTACACTAACACATGCCCGCGACAGTGAAACGTGTGGTCGCGAAAGCATCGTGCAATTTGTCGCGAAAGCAGTTTTACCCTATTTTCGGCATCGCTCAACTATGGCCATGGGTCCAAATCCCGTACCCCCAGTGAACATCCCAATCCCCACTAAAACGGACGAGAATGGGTGGTGAATTCACCTAGCCCAAAATGGGATCGCAAAACGGTTTTGACCACCACAGCCATAGCTTCTTGCGGATCCCCTGCACCAGGCGGCCGCCCAAGTACTCGAGAAGCCGCTCAGAAATATGCCTCTCCCGCGAATCAGAAGCACCGGTATGCACTGTTTCACATCTACCCAAGTGCTTGTGCAAGGCGCATTATGTACATCATGCTTATCTTGCCTTAAATAATACATAATATACATAATTATAGTGTGTGTATATATATATATATATCTTGTATACCACTAGATATGTCGACATTCTGGCCAGCGGAGATCTACGCTTTCCCATCCTCCTTCTTCGGATCCGGCCCATGGCGGATCCGAAGCCGCTGCTGGAGACCTCCGTGCTGCTGGAGCGGCAGATCTCAGGCGCGGAGCTCCGCGCGAGGAGCAAAAGCGCGGAGCCGTGGGGCGGTGAGGGCAGGTGGTTCAGACAGCCAAACGGATTTTAGCCTAGGTCCCCCAGTCGTGCCCTTCTCTCCCCTTTTTTTGGGGAGGGGTTCTCCTATTAAAATAGACTACAGAAAAAAGGGTGCCCTTATTCGAACCTCTCTAGTGGAGGAACTAGTATCGAAAAGCCACGTTACAGAGGCCAGCTTTTTGAAGTTGATGCTCTTTTTGTTGTCTCGATTTGAGGTTGTTGGTGTGAAAAGCATGTTGTTTCTCATGTGGACCTGGCATACAACCTAGAATCTATCTCCGGCATGCTCTGTTTTTTTTTTTTTCTGCATGCATGGGCAATACATCGCACTGAAAGCTGCCGAAGAGCTCCAGGCGGAACCCAAAGGGTGGTTTTGGTACCTGACGCAAGGGGTCAGAAAGGCTCACTTGGTACATCCTGACAAAGTAGGACCCATAGGGCCTAGGGAAAGGTCATGTTTGGCGAAGAGAAACTGTTGTCCCCCCACCCCTCTTATATAACTGGGGCCTCTAAGACCAGAAGATGGTGAAGAATGCGTGATTCCCTGTGCCGATTTCGGGAATCACAAATTCAAGGCCAGTGCCTGGTAGAGTGACATATGCATACTGCATACAAAACTGCGGGCAGCTTCAGGAAAGCGAGGACGTGTTGTTTTCGCGTGAAATGAATAGGAAGTATTGTTATCCCGCAGTCTCAACGCTTGGTGAAAGCCAGTGAGCCCAAACAGAGACTCCCTCACCCCCTACTGTTTTTCTTCTTAAGAGCACCCCTTCCAAATGGGATGCCCAATCGGAAGAAAACATCCTCTAGTTTCCCTGCAAACCAAGCCAACCAGGGTACCATCAAAATAGGCACACTAGTCAATGCAGAACGTGCCCACCTCGCAAGGCAGATTGCGACATCAAATCTACGAAAATCGCGGGATCCCTTATGTGTGGAGTTGACAAGCAGAAAGTTCCCCTTCCAAAGTGAAGACAACCCACAGACTACCCCGAGTGCTTCCTCGGCTAATCTTTTTTCACGGCCTCGACCATTCAAGAACGAAAGGCTACAAGCGTAATGTCCCTCGACCTTAAAAAAGGAGGGCTGGGGAATCTTGTCCTACCTGCAACGCCCTGGCCTTCGAGCATATTTTATATTGAGACACAAAGGCTATGAACAAAATCGTGAGGCCCTCGTCCGAGTGGACATGGTGGACCCCTGGAAGTTAAGCTCACAGGAACACTGCGGATGTAGTTTCAGTAGCTCCTTGGTGAGGTGAGGTCACTTGAAAAACCCGTGATATGTGCTTTCCAAATGACGGTTTGATTTGTTTTCATGATTGGATTAGACATGTGGCTATGTGACACATTAACTATAGCAGCATGCATGTTTTTGACCATGCAGCTCACTGCCATCCTTGAATGCAGAACTTTCTGAGCTTCTGGCAAAGGTCTGAACACAAATTCAGTGAACACTGTTCAGCGGCTAGCTCAAGATATTGACTGTCCGCATGATCCCTAGCTTCAAAAACATGCATGCTCTGGAAAATGACATGACCGTGGACAAACCATGGACAAACTATGGACAAACCATGGACAATCCGTGGAAAGACCATAAAGAGGTGTGGAAAGGCAATAAAACGGCGTGGAAAGGCTATACACAAAAAGCATGGACAATCTAGGATCATATGCCGGGCAACCTTCAATTGAAATGGTTGTGCTTCGTGTGCTGGGCTGGTGGTGAGCTGCGCGCAATCGTTTCCGATCTGTTCGCGTTTGACACTATTATCATACATTGTTTTTGGCTCAAGTCATGTTACCACCTCGGCTGAATAACTCTATGAAAAAGCATATTGACAAAACACGGGGCATGCAAGGCCGCTCTAAAGAAAACTGTTGCTCTTGTGTGCACAGCAATGCTATCTACTTCAGCCAGCGGAAGTGCAATCTTGAGAGTTGGCGAGTTGGGCCAGTTGGATGAAACATACTACCACATATCGCCACAAAGAATAAAGGCATGCAAGCTTGCAAAGGTTGAATTTTCAGAGAAGTGCAAAACATGCCTCTAACCATCTTATGGTTGAGCGACCTCGACCACTTTGGACCGCTTTTGGGAGACCAGGGAACACATAGTTTAGGATCACTTCGGTAGCAGAAGTGTGAGGTTTGAAGTATTGAGGGCTAGGCGCAAAAAATATGGTCTTTCGGCAAAAAACGGTCTAGCTACCTTGACTACTCGCCTTTAAAAGGCTAGGGTTCCATGATCTGCCATCCGAACAAAGAGAGAGAAAACAAGCCCTCAACACAGGCCACCATCCGAAACAAAGGCTACCCCAGCGCATTTGTGGAGAAGTACAGGCACCCAAAGATATGTCTCCCACTCGGCGGGTGTTTGGATTTTGCACCGAGCGGTGAAAACGCAGGGCTTCTGCACTCGGTGGCCTGCGGCTGCGAGGAGGTGCGGGCCACGCTGGCAGCCCACCAGGCGGAAAGAGGGGCGCCGTGCCGTGCCAACTGAGTGGTGCCCTTTCAACTTTGAAAAGGCGGGGGGGGGGGGGGGTTTCCAGCAAAAATAGAAACAGCCACCAGGTTTTGCCTGTTTGAAAAGGAGGGAGGAGGGGGTTCCCGTTGAAATCACCCAGGTTTTGTCCATGAAAAGGAGGGGGGCGATCGGCGGCTTCCCTTGGAACCCAAGAGGCCCAGAAACCCGCCGTGAATGATGGGCCACTGCGCGTCAACTACCCTAAAGCGCCGTTTGTTTGATTCGCAGGGTGTCCTTTTTGGTTTTGCTAGAAAAATAGAAGGCGATTCCTGGTTTACCTGGTTCAATCATCTACCAGAGAAACCCATCTATTTTCCAAAAAGGACAGCTATGTGAATGATTCGCAGGGTGGGGATAACCTTGATAGCGACCAAGCGACGCCCATGACTCGCTCGATCCTTTTTGTTTGGAGTTTGCTCAATAAATTCGTTCAGTGACTTTCTCTTTTTGAACTGGGAGATGGGGCACGGGACCCTGACGGCCTCAAACTAAACCAGCTGGTGATTTTTTGGGGTTACTATATGTTCCCCATACAGCAGGTTGCCCTTGATTGGCGGTTTGGACTGGTGCTTTGGGGCATTGAACCCTGGTTCTTCAACCAGCAGCGGGCTCCAAACCACCAAGTAGGAAACTGAATACACTCGAGAAGCTCGAGCAAACTTGGGAGCATCTTGGTTTGAATCCAGACGGTCCCGGTCCTGCCATGTTGCGACTCCTGCGTCCCGCCATGCGTTCGGCCGGCTCCGGGCTGCGGGCCTTTGCGGCGCCGGAGGCGAGCGGAGATCAGCTCGTGGGGTTTGGCAAGCATGCTGCACTGAGCTACCAGCAACTCTTCGAGACGCAGCCAGGGTGGTGCAGCTGGTTTGTCAAGAGCTACACCGAGAAGTTGGAGAAGGCTGAGAACCAGAGCCCGGCCTCCAGGGCGCTGGGGGAGTATTTGCAGGGAAAGGGCGTTGCTCCATCTCCATCCTCCCCAACTCGGTTTTCTCCTTCGAGTGTCAAGGGCCAGGGCCCGAGTGCCAAGGGCCAGTATGGCCAGTATGACCGGTCTGACCAGGGCCAGCAGGGGAAGCTGGTGGATGGCCAATGGGTGTTGGGCTTCGGAAAGCACAAGGGCAAAACCTTTGCGGAGGTGATGTCCCAAGACCCCAACTACTGCGAGTACTGCGTGAACTTGGCGCTCGAAGGCACCAAGGCCAGCTCCTCCTTGCTGGCCTTCTCCATCTACGTCATGTCCGCGGCCAAACGTTTGGAGTGAGCCAATTCTTGGACCAGTTGGCCCACTGAACAGGTGTCCTGAAAGAAATCGAAAGGAGAGTGTGCAGACAAGTGGTCTTGACATTTTTTGGTGTGGAGGGTACCCCATCTTTGGTGGTTATAAAGGGAAACCAAAGGACCACCAGAAGCCTTGAGGAGCGGGGCACAAATCCCGTCGCCCCGGGCAACGGGCGACCCGCCAGGTTTACTTCTCACGCGATGAGCTAGCATCGCTCGGGGCATCGCGCGCTGCGAGGGGGGAAAAAGAAGATGGCCCAAGGGGTGATGGATTCAATCCTGATTGATTGACAAGGTGTCCCATTTTTTTGAGGGGATTGGGCAAGCAACCTCCCAAAAAACAGAGGTCTTCCCTTGGATCCGAAACGGGCTCTGAGAAAATAATTTTCAGCTTGCACCAAAGGACAACAATGTGTCTAGCATCCGAAACTCACTCCTTGAGCTCATGGACTTTAAGCTTTGTTGGGAAGACCATTTGGGGGCAAGGTTTGGACTTTTTTGGCCAGCCCACTCAAGAAGTGAGGAAAGGAACTCATTCGTTCGAACCCATTGAACGGGTCATCCAACCTGTGAATCAATCCGGGGTTCAGCTCACCCGCCACAAGGAATGTAATGGCAATGCTCCACTTGACACAGAGCCCATTGTTTGGAGGCTGAAGCCTCCAAGTTTTTTGTCAAGTGAAACGCTTCCTGACCTGCAGATATGCGCGCTTCTGGTCAGCATAGGGAACTTCCTTGAAAGGACGACGCTACCTGCTTTCCAACCAGCAGGGAAGCGGACAGGCCTTTTGTCAAGAAGACTGTCGTTTGTCAAACCTTCCTGTTAGCTTCCATTGTTGAACAGAGGCTATCCCAACTAAGTAACCCCAAGCGATGGTCATGCAAAACGTAGAGGTAAAACAGCGTGGTCACCTATGGTTGCTGGAAGCACCCGGTAGGTCGACAATGGAGCCACCCTTTAAACACAAAAAGGAACATCCTACTAGACTGGCATGCACTGGGCAAAACATATCGAAGGGCTTCTCGACGAATGGTGCCAAAAAACTGTCGTCCTCCAACCCATCATTACTCGTGGCAGGCCCTTTCAAAGGAGAGGCCAAAGCTTGACTTGGGCAAATGATTGTCCCACCTGGCGGTTTGCGACCGAAAGCCCATGATGTTTTCTTCTGCAGGTGCGTAGCCGGCGGATTCAATGCCTTGATGCATTGATTTAGTTCCAAACCGCGCTCTTGCTCAACAGGCTTGAGTGAGTTCAATGATTGACTGACGCGTCTGAACGTGCGTAACATATGCGGTGTGGTTTCCCCTTTTTGTTGCGCCCGGGTTTTTACCCACCTGTGGCCGTTTGGAGCAGTCTTGGGGGCCTAACCAACCTCCAAATTGGGCAACGCCAAAAGGCCTTCTGAAAGGAGTTGATTGAGGGCCTCTCCTGACGAAGCCTCGCGAAAGCTAGAACGAGCGCGAAAGCCCGCAAAAGCTTGAGGAGAAAGTGGTTGAAGAGAAGCCCGCCGCGAAAGTGTCGCGAAAGTGATCATTACACTAACACATGCCCGCGACAGTGAAACGTGTGGTCGCGAAAGCATCGTGCAATTTGTCGCGAAAGCAGTTTTACCCTATTTTCGGCATCGCTCAACTATGGCCATGGGTCCAAATCCCGTACCCCCAGTGAACATCCCAATCCCCACTAAAACGGACGAGAATGGGTGGTGAATTCACCTAGCCCAAAATGGGATCGCAAAACGGTTTTGACCACCACAGCCATAGCTTCTTGCGGATCCCCTGCACCAGGCGGCCGCCCAAGTACTCGAGAAGCCGCTCAGAATGGAATGCGCGTGGGCATCCGCCGCGTGGTTCTTGGGTGTTGGTGGGTTTTCGGGCTTGAGTTTGTGTTTCTGTTTGGGTTTTGGGGTTTTGTGTTAGCCACAATCTCAGGTATCTCCGAATTGGTGGCTTGGATTGGTGGGCTTTGGATTTGACGCCCTGGTTGTGTAAAGGGTAGAAGCCACCCCGAACCACCAAACCACCAATTCGAGGGAAGCTGACAATGCAATTGGTGGTTTGGATTCGTTTGAGTTAAACCCCTGGTATTTGAAGCTGGGAAGCCGATGCTTCAGGCAACCCTTAGTTGGTGGTTTGGGGATTTGACTCCCTAGTTCTTCTAGAAGCTAAATGGGAATCTACCAGATGGTGGGCTGACTGTTGTTGGTTTGCTGTGTGTTTTGAAGCTGTTGCTGTTGCCGTTGCCGTTGCCGTTGCCGTTGCCGTTGCTGCCGTTGCCGTTGCGGTTGCTGCTGCTGCTGCTGCTGCTGCTGCTGGTGGTGGTGGTGTTGTTGTTGTTGTTGTTGTTGTTGTTGTTGTTGTTGTTGTTGTTGTTGTTGTTGTTGTTGTTGTTGTTGTTGTTGTTGTTGTTGTTGTTGTTGTTGTGTTGTGGTGGTTGGTTGTTGTTGTTTGTTGTTGTTGTTGTTGTTGTTGTTGTTGTTGTTGTTGTTGTTGTTGTTGTTGTTGTTGTTGTTGTTGTTGTTGTTGCTGTTGCTTGTTGCTGTTGCTATGTTGTTGTTGTTGTTGTTGTTGTTGTTGTTGTTGTTGTTGTTGTTGTTGTTGTTGTTGTTGTTGTTGTTGTTGTTGTTGTTGTTGTTGTTGTTGTTGTTGTTGTTGTTGTTGTTGTTGTTGTTGTTGTTGTTGTTGTTGTTGTTGTTGTTGTTGTTGTTGTTGTTGTTGTTGTTGTTGTTGTTGTTGTTGTTGTTGTTGTTGTTGTTGTTGTTGTTGTTGTTGTTGTTGTTGTTGTTGGTGGTGTTGGTGTTGGTGTTGGTGTTGGTGTTGGTGGTTGTGTTGGTGTTGGTGTTGGTGTTGGTGTTGGTGTTGGTGTTGGTGTTGGTGTTGATTTTGAATGAGGCTGTGGGGTGGTGCTGGTGGCCGGGTGGTTTTTCAGGTACATGACAAAAACTGTGAACCAACCCCCTTCCCCCCCTCCCCTCCCCACCCCACCCCTTGCCCCCCCCTCCCACCCCCCCCTTCCCCACCCCCCCCGCCTTCCCACCCCCCGCTTGGGGGTTGCCACGGGGAGCCGCCGCCGGGTGCTTCCGAATTCGGGCTTCGCTGTCGCAGGCGGAGGCCTCCGTGCTGCAGGCCCAGGTGGCCTTGAAGATGCTGGTGGAGCAGCCGGACCTGCGCAAGGCATCGGCATCGGCACGCGCCGCGTGTCGCGTCCGGGAGCATCCGGGACCCGGAAATCGTGGCCCTTCTCTCACCCCCGTTTTTTCTTTTTTGGGTTGGTGTGTTGGGTCCCCCTACTGAAATCGACTACAGAAAAAAAATAGGCTGGTGCCCTTTGGTGTTCAGTGGCGCCTTTGTTCTTTTTCCCTGTTTTTTTGGTGGCTGCCCCACTAAGAATGATCTTCCCCAAAAAGGGTTCCCTTTTTTTTTTCTGGGGTCACTGACCAAGTGAGACTCGCGTCCCGGGTAAAACGTGGAGGAATCCCTCTATAAAATGCCAGACCCCTATATTCATCAAGGGACGGGACGGGGCAAAAAGTGGGAGCGGGAGATTTACCTATGAGGGTAATTACTCTCCTGTAGCATGTGAAAACTTTCGATGAATGTCGAGACCGGAAGAATCAACCTGGCGATTTTGTTCAAGTGGAGGAATCCCTCTAAAATAGCACACCCCCATCTTCATCAAGGGATTTGCGGCTGTTGGGTTCCGATTATTCCGGAGGACCGCTTTGAGGAGCAAAAGTATGTTGTATTTTAGAGGAGCTGTGAGAAATCTCGCGCTGCAGAGAGCCTCCCTCTCAGTCCCCGAGTTCTTGGACTTTCGCTTTTTGGGGCCTTGGACCATTTTCGTGGCGAACGAGGAGTTTGGGCGATTTGTTTTTTGAGCGTCCACTCAGGACGTCAGGGTTTTTAGGCCCCCGTAGTAGGGTAGAATTGATTTTCAAGGGGGCTGCTGAATATGGTAGGCTGAGAGCTTTGGAGTCAAGAGGCCCAAAGCTACGCAGGCAGCTTTTGGAGGTGCTTACGTGTTGGGGAAAATCGGTTGGCTTGAAGGAAGCCAGGGAGGCGCCCGAAGCCATTCCAAATCTCGCACGGGACATGGAACGGATCGGACGTGAGCCGAATCATGACCATTCGCCTGTCTCGACGTAGATAGTTGGCACACTTTGAGGATGGTGTTGCAAAGACAACGACAGGAAGACAAGTTCGATGCTTCCCACATCGGAGACACACCCAGAAGTTTCTTTGTGGTGGAAAAACACCCTATTGTTATGGTTGCTAAGTCTGATTGAATTTGTTTCAGGGGCGATGTTGGCAAACTCAAATCCCCCGGAAAAGGACCTTTGAAATAGGAGAGGCTGTCCAAGGGATACGCTTGAATGGGAACCTTCCACTCGGGTATCACCACAGCCTACGCAAAGCATACGCAAAGCTCTGCGCCGGAGGGGAACCGCAGAGCCCTGTTGCCATGGATGTGACCCCCAGCAAATGCCACAGAGGATCCTCTGAAAAGTGATGCGTGGACCGAGCCAAGCTCCACATATGTCCACCATGTCGGGCCCCCAAGCATCATACCCAACATGGATAGAGGCGTGTCTCAGAATTTCGGGGACCTCCAAAATGGGGAGTCTTTTTTTATGAATTCCCTTTAAACCATCCCAGAAAGACTCAAACCACAAAGGGCACCCTGTTGATGGGTCCCCCAAAATTCATCCCCGTTTCTGGGCGTGTATTTACTTTTCGTTCAAGGACACCCACAAGGAAAAACCACCACTTCTGGGGTGTGCACTCTCCTAAAATGCCGGGTTTTCTCCTGGTTTCCCTTTCAACGGCTCTCCTTCCCAAGCCAAAGCCGGTGCCTTGAAAAGAGAAAGCCGAGCGACCGCCCCTCCCCCTCCCCCAGGTCGCGGGTCCCCAGAAAACGCGCCAGGCGATCTTCGGCAAAGCGTTGAAGCTGTGCCAGGAGATATCGAGAGAGAAGTGGCCGCCGGAGCCACGGAGCCCTTGGTTTTGTTTTGGGATGTTTTGGGGAAATCCTGAGAAACACGGCGGGGGAGTGGGGTGGGGGGGGAGGTGGGGTGGGGTTTCAGGCATTCCGGTTGGTGGAATATCTCCCTTTTGCTTCTGTCAAAATTTGGTTTCTTTTTGCTAGGGGCAAGGTTGCGGAAAAGATCCTGTAATCGTCTGATCTGGTAGCGACCCTGTGGCTTCATTCTTCGCTAGGATATGGACGACCAGCCGCTCACGGAGGCGTTGCACGCTTGCCAGAAGATGGCGGAGGCGCCTGCCAGACATGTGCATATATAGAGCGGGGCTGGATGCTGAAAGGACCGTACCGATCACTCCGATAAGTTCATGTCATATTATGCATCAACCCCGCATAGGGGGGTGCTCCCCTCCAGAAGTGATGCTTCCCCACTAAACCCAGAGACACCCCGTATGAACAAACTAGGGTTGATTAATATGAGGTCACCATTACGGAATTAATCGTTTGAGTCTCCGGCCCCGCGATTTACGACAACGCATGTGAAGACATCCGAGAAGATCACTGGAACTGGGCACCCCACTGCCCTCCTCTTGCTCCGCGTACAGGAGCAGTACGCCGGCCGGAAGTCGCCGCCCCTCTAGGCTGCCGCCTGAGACAATGTGGGAGCGGGAGATTCGCCTGTGTGGGTACTCTCCTAGGTTTTCTCAGTAGTGCCCTTGTACGCTTTTTAGTAGGGATGGTTCCCCTACTAAAATAGACTACAGAAGAAAGGGTACCCTTATTCTAACCTGTCTACTGGAGGACCTAGTCTGCTAAAGCATGTGAACTTTCGATTAATGTCGAGCCCGGAAGAATGCACCTGGTGATTTTGTTCCAGTGGAGGAATCCCTCTAAAATAGCACACCCCCATATTCATCAAGGGATTTTCGGCTGTGGGATGAATCCGGACGACTGCTTTGATCAGGAGTGTTTCCTCTATTAGTGGTGGGGACACGGTTTACTTTAGAGGAATTGTGATAAACATCGTCCTCCAGATTGAGGGCACCCCCTCTCGCTCACTAACTGAAGCCAACGGTTCTTGCGTGGAAGAAAGAAAGCCGGAGAAGGAATTTGTAAAGGAAACTGGGGAGGAATTGGGGAGGAATTGGTGAACAAAGCGGAAGAAAGGACGAAGAAACCTTGAAACAACGCCTGCAAATCGGAGATTGCGGCAAGTCCTTGTACTGTCCCATGTTTGGTGGTAGTTTGGAGGTCAAGGAGCCAGAAGGTTCGAATGGATGCTTGCCTCCAAAAGGGAGGAGGTCAATGAACGTTTGTCAGGAGAGGATTCATGTTTGTCAGGAGAGATGAGGGGTGTGCTGCTCAGCGGTCAGTTGGAAAACATTGAGAGTGTAACTCCCAGCTATTGCGGGCCACCTGCTGTGTGAGGACGTACCACATGTTGTCCTTGGCTCAGCGTTTAGCGGTTCGTGATGGTTCTGTTCAGTTCTAGCCGTCAAGCACCTGTCATCCCTTGAGCAACCCCCTCTCCGCAAGTTGTCCAAGGAATGCTACGCCGCGTCGACCCGCACCAGTTCTTTGGGCCTTAGGAAGGGCCACAGTGTCGTTCTTCTGTTGAGATGCCTCGGCGTGGTATCTACACACACAACCCTGAGGCGTGTTCTTTTTGGTGAGGTTTTACTCACGCGATGATTTTGCTGGCACGCTTAGGCAAAGAAGTTTACATTGAGCCCTGTGATGTGGAAGTTTGACAGTCACGGACTTCTTCACCTTTTTGAGTTGTCAGGCTTGCTTTTGTGCAGATCATCTTGGGGATTCCGACACGTGGCAACGCAAGATGGACGCTCGTGGCTCACCTGGTTTCACAATGGAAGGCGCAAGATGCGCCCTTTCCGCGTCCTGCATGCCTGAAAAACAGGGTCGGCTTTTTTTTTTGGACCTTTGCCTTTGTCCAGGTTTCAGGTTTTACAGACAGGGGGTCCACTTTGGAGACCTCAAAGTAGACACAGAAACCCAGCAGCTGCAGCAGCTTTGGCTCCAAGATTTCGGAATTCCATGCGTATCAGTTACTGGTGCAGAACCCCAAAGCAATGAGCCAGCCGCATAAATGTTCGACAACCTCACAGAGCTTTCTCGTAGAACTTGAAAAGCCAAGTCTCCAGAAAGCTGGAGTTTTGTGTTCCTGGCCTGAAGACGTTCCATGAGACCTCCAAGGGGGGTTATCACCTAACCTCGCACAACCCTTAAGGTTGTAAGGGAGGAGAGGTCAGGTTTACATGCCATGCTATAACACTGGTGCATGTGCCAAGGGAAGCTCTTCTTTTTGTTGTTTCTTTTTTCCGGCAAAACCACACTGCTTGGTGGTTTAATCATAGCCAAACCTAACTTAGCTTGTTTAACCTTTGACCTTTTGATTTCGATGATGTGCAGGGGGAAGTCTGGCCGAATGAGCATGTGTCTAAATTGCTGGTCTCGGATCCCAGCCAAGCTCACTTTCATCTTCCGGCTGATATTGTAGATGTCCACCAAAGGGTATTCAATGAAAAGACATACCAGCTTATTGGAGGGTCAACCTCGTGCGGGGTTTATCCCATCTCATATGTGGGGTAATTATCTGACGCTGCTGTTTGTCCGACTTCACATTCGGGTGACCCTTATCTGGCTCTGTCTCCAAATCTCACTCCCTGAATTCCTGGACCCTTTTTTGGGGGGGGAGGGAAGACCCATCTCAGTGGCAAACGAAAAGATTGGACTTTGTTTTTGCTATCCATTCAGGAAGTCAGAGAAGGGGACCCACAAAAAGGCTGGTTTCCTCTTTGTTGCCCTCTAAAGCCGACCCACAAAGGGTACCGAGCCTCACAAAAAGACGAGCCACCCATTCGATTTGGTGGTTTGGATTGGGGGTTCGAGCGTCTGAATGAAGGAGCTCAGCAAAAACCGCGACCGCCCACAACGTGTGTATCTGCCCTGTTGATTAACAATTTGTCCTACTGATTGAACCAGAGACATTGGACACATGAGTATTTGGCTTGAAGCCCAACAGGGGAGTCACATATAAATGCCCAATGCAAGCTTGGACGGCTGTGGGATCCAGCATCGCTTAATTGGTTTAGCGGTGCTGGCTCATCCCCGGAATACAAGCCAAACTGCAATGGACCGCAGGTCTTGGTCCATGTTTCCACTTGGGCTTCCATTTGGGGTACTCTCTCTCACTAACGTCGCACCTTCTGGAGGGCACCTGGATCAATTGGCTCCAGGGCCATGTTGGAGGGTGCCTATTTTTGACCCACCGCCTTGGCATGAAAGCTCTTGTCCAAGGTTCGCGATGAGGCGGGAGAGAGCGGGACCCGTGAGTATCATTAATCGGGAGCCACAGGGATGGAACAGGTTGCAAACATGGGAGCTGTCAAACGTGGCCCCTTTTAAGACCCTGTCAGGTTGGGCGGCCGAAACATAGAAATGGCCTTGGATTGTCCAATCTTCAAGTGGGCGTGCAAAGGCCAGGACTTCCACATGTTCCTTTTGGGTAGGTTTCCTTTTGTGTGGATTTGTGTGTACCAGCGACAAGTGCCGTTCTACATGTTTGCCCCGCTTACTTGTACGGGTGAAAAAGGTGTCTCCAAAGCCGCAAATGTCACATGGTCAGACTTGAAAATTGAAATATAACACTCACACATGCACATTGAGTCGACGACTCTGTGTTTTTGTGTGCGTGTGTTCTTTGCTTTGGAGCATGTCGATGTCGGGTTCCAGACAGACTAAGCAGGGCAGGGCACAGTACTTACTCGACCGTTGTAACGGTAAATAAAAAGTTTGGACTTGTTTTGGGCCATCCACTCGAGAAGTGAGACTTGAAACATCACAAGCCGGCCTGAACGACACATCTTCAATGCTGGGTGTGTTCACAGGGATAGCGTCAAGGTCTAGCTTCGTTGGAGAAGTTTCTTCGCCGGCAAGCTGTGTTGGGTCAGCCATCGTGATGTTGGCAGTTTCTGAAGAATCCGTGGCCACTTGCTCAACAAGAGAGACCCTGAGTCTGGGCAAGAGAGATGATCCCTCTCCAAGCGGTCACCCAATGGTGATGTCAGATCTGATAAATGTGATATTGAGCAAGTTATACTTCCCTACCGCGAAGCTTATGCCGTGCCGTGTTGGAAACGCACACCAGCCCATCAAGCTCGGGCACCTCACTATTGAGGCTCTCTTGCCTCGTGAATGAAGTTCGGAGAAAAAATCAGAAGTCTATGGTCCTTTTGAAAGAGGGACGTGGAGAGACTCGCAAAATTCTCACTCAATTTCCCAAGGCCTGTTCGAGGAGCCGCAGTTGAGCCTTACGATTTCTTTGGAGATTGGTTGCTGGGGTGTCCAAGGTATCTTTTGGCATATCCCAAACCTCGACCGCCGACTTTTTGTGGGTGGATGGGGGGGGGAGGCTCCCTTCAAACCCAACAACCAGAAAAGGGGGGCCCTTTTTGTCATGGGACTCTGGCGCATTTGGGCATGGGACTCTGGCGCATCTGGGATCGGCTGTACAAGGGAGGCGCTCTTTGAACCCAGACCTGTGGGTTTTTGGCCCCTTCCAAGTCAATCCAACAGTCAGGGCGCCGAGGCATTTTTTCCCGTGGCCACCGAGGTCTGGGAGAATGAGTAGTTGTTTTGTTTGTTTTTTTGTAGAGTTGAGTTTACACTCCCTCAGACTAACATGGAAACTCCCAGAAGGCCTCTGTAAATGGTCCTGGGAGCTTCCATGTTAGCCTGGGGGAGGATACTATTGGGGGCCTCCCATCGTGTTTGACGGACGACCGCTAGGAGACAACTTCCCTTTGTTGGTGCACCCTGTTCGGATCACACCCGTAGCCACGATCAAAATGTGTGATTCTCCGGGCAAGATTGGATTCCCCGGGGTTTTGGTTTGGAAACAATAGCATGGAACCCAGAAACCCATCCTTTTTAGAGGAAATTATTTTTGGGTGTCCGCCCTTTGAGAGTTCGTTCCTTTTATTTGCGGGGGACTGTATCTTTTGACCAAGCACATGTGCACCGCACCTGCGCGCGCTTTTCGGATCAATCCAGCGCTGAGCGGCTGGAGCTAGCGGCTCAAAAGGCAACACGGTTGGACCCAAAAACCTGGTTGGGTTGAACAAACGAAGGGGTCCCCAGGCAACATGACCGGCAAGCGCGTTGATTTCCAAAAAGATACGCACATTTCAATTATCAGACAGCCAGGCGGAAGGTTTGGCTCAAACAACAAACCGCGGGATCCCGTCTGCTATTTCAGATTTTACAGTTCACATATCCGGACCAGATACGTCAACTCGTTAACGTGTCATTTTGCGATGTGGATGGGGCAGCACAAAAGCCGAAGGAATATGAAAAATGGATTCAACTGGAATCAAGATTTCATTGGGCCTTGGTCAGACGCAAGGAGACACCCCAAGCCCTGAAAGACACTGGCCTCAAGCGGCCACATCGCAAGTGGCGGCCGCGACGAATGCATGCGGGCTCGTCTGCCTCAAGCCCGGGCTTTGCTTGGGCCGCAATGGCGCCTGGGGCCAAAGGTGCGGACGGATGCGCCGAATCACCTGTGTTCCCTTAGTTTTTTTTTGTGAGCGTACCATTTTTTAGTGACGCCCCCGTGAGG